AATTTGGTGAAAACACCCTTGGCGCCAAACCGAAAATGAAGGTCATATTCGCTATCAGGGCATCGGATTACCCCTATAGGCGAAGTTTCATCGAAAATTAAAATTTTGAGTTTTTGGGGTTGTAATAGTGGATTAGTACCTTAAAAGGCTTCGATTACGGTAAGCGAGAGGCGGCGCAAGTGATGTAAATGCATCCAGCAGAAGGACCAAACGGGCTGGTTTGCTTACTTCGTACTCACGTAGTGCACGTCTCCCATCTTTTACCGTACACATGTATGGCTGCTTTCAGATCTCGGCCGCCCGTCCGTCCGTCCGACGCGTGCGTGCTGCGACGGCGGTCGCGTGCGTGCTGCACGGACGGACGGCCGGTCGTCGAACTCTGAAAGCAGCCTATGTATTATCGCGATACCAGTTGGGCTATGCACACTAACGGGTGCAACATGCCATGCCCACTACCAATTGTTATTGTGATATGTCGACGTACAGAATCATAACGCGCTCCAGTACAGTTTTCTGCTCCGCGGCAAATCTTTCATTTTGAGCATGGATATAATAGGCTCCGATGAAGGTTCCTGCTCCAGACTCAAGGGTTTTTAATTCAACCTTTCATGAAAGGGATGTCGCCGTTGCCAACCAGTTCGATTCCAGTAAGAATATTTTTCAAAACCTCTTTTTTTTTACAATATAACTCACAATACTGATTTTACTACTTTTAAGGAAAAGTGACTAAAATAAGTAAATGCCTTGACACTTTTGTGATTCTCCGATTTTAAAAATGAATATATTGTCGATCATTTCCTTGAGTCTGATCGATAGAGATGCATACCACCTTTTTATCGGATTCTCCGCGTAATTTGGATAAGCATTGGGAAAACTTCTGAAAACTTCCTATTTAGGTCATGCGTTGTTGCCCTGTTTGTGGTAAAAATCGTGGACGTAGATCATTCGCCATATTCTCGTATGGCAGACCTTCACAAATGGTGCTGTTGTCATGTCTGCTGCGGTATAAAATAATTGGAATGCGCAGGGCTACCTCTGTATGTGTGGTAATGAGGAATACCCAGCAGCATCGTTTACGCATTTGTAGGGACCATTTTATCCAGACGGTAAGGGATTTTCACGTTTTCTAGAAAAAATTTTGTTCCTTTAACATACGGTGCTAGAGTACAATGAAGGACGGGTAGCCGTCTTTGCGGGCCCGTAATGAGCAATATGCTGACACAGTAGTGCTTATACTTACGAAAATATGGATTAATGGTTCAATCCTTCACCCATCCCTGCTTTTTGCACGAGATAATCATCTTATTCACCGTTTGCTACTGCCCGCCTGAGGCTTTTTTTCTTTTAGAAAAACTCACTCCCCTGTCTGAAAACCGTCACGAAGTACTATTACAGGTCTGAAAAATCGGCTACCCCTCCTCTGCACTTGCCTTGAAGTAGCTAAGTGCCCCCCCCCCTTCCACTCACATTTTCCCCCTTTTTTTTCTCTTCTTTTTGGTTATGATGGGCGTAGGTTTTATGGAACCGGAAATGTTCTTGGCGAGGAAGAATATGATTTGACGGTTCCTCTAAATACTACTATTCTCTCTTCCTTCTGAATCTTGGAAAAAGGAGCCATCTAATAATAATGTTTTGATGTACGATGCCACGTGCCCCTGCGGGATATGAATAAAAGTGCACTGTTCGTCTCAGATTCGGTACTTATAAGAATTAAGCACGCTACTGCGGGGTTGTATAATAAATTATGGGGAAGCAGAACTGAGCGATATAGACGTGTTACACTTTTGGTAATTGCACGAAATTTCTCAGTTTTGGCGCTATAACGAATCGTCAAAATTTATCTTTTTCCAGGCATTTTTTCTCGGATTGGAAATCGAGCAGCTTTTGGGCCACTTTCCTTTTAATGGTATCAGCGGTGTTCCTGCAAATGTTATAGAGGAATTCATGACTCATGTACGGATGTTTAGCAGTCTGATCGATGTGGGTGTAATATTGAATGAATACTGTTGGCGTTCATAAAACAAAGCGAAGCTCACGAGAGTTTCTAACAAACGAAGTTCTTGTTGAATGTATTAATCTTTTCATGATTTTAGGATACAGTATCCATAGAGGAGAAAGACGTGGTGACGTTGTTCAATGACTGTTTAGTGGCATATTTCAAAGATGTGGTAAAGGAACTGTTTTACGCAGAGAAGAGGGAAGCACAGGAATGTACAGATGTAAGTGTTTATTACCGTTGGCTCAGACGACTTTTTGAGTTTCATTTGAGAAG